ACACACACACACACACACACACACACACACACACACACACACACACACACACACACACACACACACACACACACAAACCCTAATCTGACAAATAAGAGAAAGTGGCAACACTTCATCCATCTTTTACTATCATTGGTGAAAACTGCGTAACGACACGTTTATCTTCACTTCTTCCAGGTTGCTTTTCATATTCAGCCATACAGAGGCAGAAATGACCAGACCGTCCACGACAACATCAAGTACATCATTGACAGGTAGGTGCTTGTCTGGCTGCACAGCAGCAGTAACGCAGCTCAAACTGAAATCCATTAAGATTGCATGGAAAGCTGAGGAGACAGACGTCACAACACAAGACATACTTTTAGGTTGCTTTTTGATTATATAAGGGCAGCTTCATGACTTATAAATGGGTATTTAAGCGAATGTTGGCTCTCAGACTCTCAGGGAAAAAAAAGTGCCTGTCATGTACACACAAACTCAACGTTCCCAGAACAGAACTTCTAATGCAAAATCTGCACATTTTGCCTTGGGTTGCACAAAGTGATGATTAGTTTGTGTAGCTGTCATTCAAAGGAAATAAAAGTTACAAACTTCTATTAAGTTATTATGAAGTTTCATGTGAAAATTCAGTCAACATAAGTCAACTCTTTAAAGTTTTATTTTAATAACAACACATATTCTACTTGGTGTTTTAGGATTTGAAGCTGCTCAAAAGTGAAGGTGAAGCAATAATGGTTTTTTTTTTTTAACAAAAATAATCTTAACAGACCAAAATCATTGGATGCAGAACTGATTAACTTTGAGTCAATCTAATTCAGGATATTTGTTGGGCTTCTAATGTTTCTTTGAGGAATTTAAGCAAAAATATCCACTGCTTATGTATTTTCCAATCAAGTTGGATATTAATGGTTCTCAGCAAAGACTTAAATAGAGTGAGCCCACCTATCCAGTCCACAGTTAGCATGCGTGACAACATGGAGGAGCAATAACGGTGCCCGAGCAGGGCGACAGCTCACTACCAACAAAGCAGCTGTTTGATTAACAGCAAGCCCAAACGGATCTGTCACAATTTGGTTTTATCTTTTTTATGATAAATTAACATAATTGTTAATAATTAATATGAATAATACAATTAATAATTGTTAACTATGTTAATTTTGCACAATCGTAAAACAGCTAGTTGTATACTAGAAAAATATATATAGTAGCAGTGATCTAAACTAGACCTGAAAAAATTGTAAAAAAAATTATGACTAATTATTAAGATTAATAACACTAATAAAAGTATATTATTTTTTTTACTTGCCATAATATTTACCAGTTGACATTTTTATATACATTATATAACTTATATACTCTCTAATACATTCATATTTTCACAGTTTTTACATAATCAGTTCTTATTTTTTTGCTATTTTGTCAGTATGTACAGTAATTCTTATTAGTGCTGCAGCTGCTACAGTAGATCACACGGTCATGTGGTCAAAGACTCACTCCTGCTGTTCTAATATAACTCCATGCTTCTCAGCTGATTTTACTAATGGGGCTCTCTATAACACTGCAGACAGGAAAGGCAGCTTTATTGTCATGATTCTTGTGTGCTATGTTATGATTCTTGTGTTTTGGTTATTTTCTGGTATTATTTTTCAGATTGTTTGGTATTGTCT